GCCCCTTGCTTTACTGTAATTACATGCCTTCCACAGTAAGTCCCTCCTCTGAAAACGAACTAAAACAAAGTAAAAGGATATTAGCATCCCTTTGTAATTAGGTTATGAGTTGACATTTTTCTGAATTTTTACTGTTCAAACTTAGTCTTAAGCGCACACTGGGGGAAATAAAAAAAAAAAAATCTCTTTTGGTGTAATTAATCTGATTTCTCCAAGCAGCACAGAAACAGTTCAGAAATTAAGCTATTATAGTAAAGCCACATACCACACAAGAACGTTCACTACACTCCATCCCCACTTCATGTGAAAACATGTTTAACACATATCCAGACAGCTCTCAAACACGTTTAAGATAACAAGAAGCAGGCAGATTCAAGATTTGCTGAATAGGATCACAGTTCCAGATCATTTTATCCAAGTTAATTAGAAATCTGCATTTGAAAACTCACCTGTGCTTTTAGTTATGAAAGGACAAAATAAAGCTTCACTGTTTATCAAGGCAGCTACATAAACCATGACACGAATTAACCCTGAAAGGAGAACAAAACCTGGTTGAAGATCTTACCTACAACATAATGCAGAGAGTAACACAGTTGGCTACTGCGTAAACTGCTGAAGCGACAAAAATCACTCAACTCTTATTCACTGCATTAAGTCAAAGGCACCAATTCGGCCTTGACAGAAGCATGCCAATATCCAGTCCAGGCTGCCACTCGAAAAAGCCTTAGCAGCAACAGCAGGATTATTCCTCCAGTTGTTACTGTGATATTGTCATTTTGCTGGGAGAGAAAAGCCAAAACCCAAGTGGAGGGAGGGAGTGGGGGGATGGGGAACAGCAAACATCCAAGTGGTTCATCAGTTTTTCTAGTTTCACTGTTAAGACACAAATCTAGGTAATAAAAACCCAGATTCATGTCCCTCTCATTGATCAGACAGGACAAAGAGAGGTACCCAAAAACTGTACATGCAATTGCATTCTCTTTAAAACATCAGAAGGCCAAAATAAGCCATCTGAACCAGTCTTTACTAGAATTGCCTTAGCATGTATGATTAAATTTAAGCATTTACAATCAAAATAATACAAAATAAAAACAAAACACCTCACCACAAGCACACCCAAAACTCACATTTCTCCCTCGTTTTAAATTACATTGTTATGGAGTTAGAAGGCTTGAGCCATATTTTATGGCACATGTTAGTTACACAATGATTTTAAAATCCTAGGAATCAACATTTCCAGACTCCTACCATACTTGCCCATGCCTTTTACAACTGAAAAAGGAAATCCAAAATCAGCCTTGCTGATCCTCTCAGCTCCTCTAAAAGAGTTTCTTAGCTAAAGATTTACAGGGAAGAAAAAAAAAAAACAAAAACAAAAAAAACACAACGACCCCCCCCCCCCCCCCCAACAAACACAAAAGAACCCATAATGCATATTTGACACATACACGTGAACGCTTAATACTAACTTACTCACTATAATACTGTAACAAAATACCCAAATACCCCAGTTATATTTCCCCACATCCCAACTTCTAGTGCCACCCCAGAAAAGGACACCTATAGTAAGCACAGTTACAGCTGGTGAGCTAATTGTTTGTCAGCTGTAAAAGTGTTAACTGTAATTTAAGAGTTCTAAATCTTAAGTCCTCCATAACTATAACCAAGAACTTGATGCCTTAATGTTTAAGTGAGCCACTTGAAAACTTCATGCAAAACTGCAAACAATACAGCTGCTTAACAGGGTGCAATTCAATGGCTTTCCAATGCAAATTGATACAGATATTTCCTCTCCCATTACGTTCCTGCAGAAATTACTGGTAATTCTTCTGAAACCTAAAAATAACTCATTTATCTGACAACTGCTCTATCAAGTTGTACTTGACTAACCACCTTCTTTAAAACAAAAAGAATCATCACCCACACACTTTCCACAAATGTAGGGGGAAAACAGTCAAAAAATAAAACCCCATTTTCACAATCTTCTTAACTTTAAGAATAGCTTAAATACAGACAGTTAAAGCAAATTTTACTAACAGACTGCCAATCTGTCCTACAAACAGAACAAACAGAAGTGAATGTCAGTTAAGCAGGATGCCTAAAGCCTCTCTTGGAAGAGCAGAGGTATTCACTCCACTCCCGTAGCTGATACTGATGATGTAGATGCTGAAGGCTTCAATCTTAAGTCCTGTTTATGCTAATGAACGTTATTTAGATCTCTCAATTATGTCTATTGCACAAGAAACCCTATAAATTTGCAAACATGAAGCTGAACGACATGGAAAAAGGTTGGCATAATGACACAGCTACCAAACGGCAGCTTAGCAAGATCTATTACACACAGCCTTTCTAACCACACCCTAAGAAAGAAAGTACATCAATAAAGTCACACATTCTTTGAGAAAGTTTGGAGAAAGCTGAAAAAAGGCAAAGGACATTTTACAAAAAGGGCATTACTATAAACCCTGGGTTGAAGACACTCAGAAGAAAAGGCAAATACCCTATTCAGGGAGGTGGTATTTATTAGCACAGCTTGCAGCTTCCAAACTTTAGAAGTGTTGAGGCTAAATAAAGAATAGCTGGAGGATTGTATTACTTCAAGGCTCAGAATTTGCAACTGGAAGAAACAATATGGACATATATGAAGATACTAATCAAGCCCAACCATTAAATGATTACATAAGGTAAGTCTTCCACCTATAGACAAAGTACCAAACTACCCAAGTACAAGTTTCGATGATACTGGTTCTGTTTCAGAAGATTTTGTTTGCTTGCTTTAGTTTTGCTGCTTCAGCTCTGCTTCCTGCAGACAAGTAACAGGCATACCATACTGAACACAGGCCCTCTTGCAAACACTATTTTGTGACAAAAGACAAAACCCCAAACGTGCACACAAAATACAGTTTCTAGCTGGAGACGTTAACCAAACCCAAAATCACTGCAATGATAACGCTGTGTCCTCAGCAACATCTCTACATTCCCTAGCGCTTGATTAAACTTCCCAAATTGATGGATAACCGTTTTGTTGTACAGCCCTTCCAAGCACTGGAAGCACAGCGCTTGTGCAGAACTGTGAATTCCTACAAGAGCTAGAACTCAGCAAGATGATAAAGGACCCTTTGCTTTATAGCAGTCAGGAAGAGATTCAGTTTGGCTTTTCAGGAGCTAAGAGGTTCTATGGAGGGCGTGATTCTCCATCTGCAGGATTAATGTTAATACAGGTATTTCAAGAGTCTATTACTTCAGCTGTCAAAGATCACTTCTCTTAAGCAGAAACATGGCTTGCTGTCAGGACTTGCGCTGTGAAACCAACACTTGGTTAGTGTTAGAAACCACCTCTGGCTAGTAGATGTCCTGTACCTTTTCAAAGTCTGAGGCAATATAAATGCCAAATAAAAATAACCCCTTTTCTATTACAGATACAGTTCTGCTTCAATACTAACTTTTTATTGATGAGTATTGGCTGCTTAGGATAATGAAGATATCAACAGGTTAGGGATTTTGTAGCTATAGGAAGGGAAAATATTGATAATTTCTAAAACATACCTCTACATTAGCCTATGTGAGTGCCACACTGGGCTTTTACTGTTAAAACTGTCTCTAGCAAAACTCTGTTAGAGCTGCAGTCCAGCACAAGGTAAATAAATAAAGATTAAGTACTTGCAACAAAAAGTTACACCTAGATTTGCATATTGCTTTATAATTCTGTAATAGCTAGGAGAAAAAAAAACCCAACACCTGCAAAGTCAACCTTTCATATCCGGTTGTGGGAGGGTTTTGATGGGGAAATGGTGGATTTTTCAAGCCATCTATATTTGAGGAGGGCTCAAAAACAGGGTAGAAAAGCAGTGAAGATCCTGGAATTATATACCTAATATCCGGATTGCCAAAATAATGGTATGAATACACACACAAACTGGGGAAGTTGGGGGTCAAGAAATTCTAGCCTGCTACAATACAGTGGAATACAACTCCCACTAATAATGGAACAATGCTCCACTTCTACTTTAATTATTACTGAAGCTGTTATGAAAATATCAAAAACTTCCAATAGCTAAAGCCATAGTAGGTTAAATGTAATTAAGTGTAAGTAGGTTAAATCAAATTAACGTTTTTTATTTCCACGGGATTCAAGCTGGTTTCAATTACAAGTCTGCTACCTATCAGTACATCTCTGCGATTAGACACACTTTAAACTCCACTCAATGAACTCCTTCTGCAGACCCACGCGGCTCCTGCTCCACAAGGACTCCCAAGCCCCCACCCAGAGTCACGGGCGGCTGCACACACCAAGAGCTACGACAGTTCTTAATCTACGATTTCCTGACGCACGGACCCATTCAACTGGGGCTCCTGCATAAAGAAACGGACCCCTTCGGTTCTCTTCCCCGCACATTCTCCTGCGCGGGAGAGAAAAACTTGTGACCTTTTCTTGTAAGACTATTCTCTGCGCTAGCCGCAACCATACAGGCTCTGGGAAAGGGGAAGTGCCGTGGGGATACGGCCGGAGCTAGGGGAAGTCTGAGCTGCTCCGCAGGAAAAGCGGCCGAGCCGCTGCTCAGAAGAGGCCCATACAGCGCCGCAGGGAGCAGAGGCGGGCGGCGAGGCAGGGCAGGGGCAGATGGGTGGTACGCCTGGCGCGAGGCCCCAAGGCAGGTGGAGCGGCTGGTGCGGACTCCGGGGCCTCCAGCCTCACCCACGCGAAGCGCAGCCCGGTGGGGCCCTGACGGCCGCTCGGTGCTCCCCCTCTGCCAAGCATCGATTTCTCCGCCCTGTAACGCGTCTGCGGCCTGGCGGTCTGCCCGCCACCACCCCACCTCAGAGCTCCGCGCTTCCAGCGAATGCGCCCCTCCTTCCCTCCCCCTCCGGCAGCCTCCCGAAAACGCATGACGGTGGCCGGCTCCCTCCGCGTCCCCTCACGACCCGCAGGAGAGGATGGAGATAGAGCGGCTCAGCCCGAGCCGGCCTCGACTTCCCGCCGCAGCCCAGGCTGCCGTTACCTGCTCCAGGCGGCGTACCCCGCTGCTCTGAGGGGCTCGGGCAGCGGTGCTGAAGAAGCCGCTCCCGTTGGCCGTTACGCACACGGCACCCGCCCTCCCATTGGCTCCTCGCTCCGCCGCTCGGTGGGACGAGGAAGATGGGAGCTGGCGGCTGCCAGGAACCCCGCCCAGTGCCGCGGGGAGGGGGGGGCGAGTTCTGCGCCGCCGCCTGAGGGCCCGCGCGTGCCCCCGGCAACCGCCGCCATGCGGCCCGCCCACGGCGGGGGCACCAAAGCGGGCCGGTGGTGGCCTCCAGCCCCGCGGCGTTCCCAGGCCGGCCCACCCGCCGCCACGGTGGTGGTGACTCGCAGCCGCCCCCTCGCGGACCCCGCTGGGCCTGCTGGAGGCTGCGTTGCGGAGCACGCCGCACGCGAACCAAAGGGGCCCCGCACGCTGGCGTGTGCGTGCGTGTAGCAGCCGAGGGGGACGCCCAACGCCAGCTGCCACGCGGATTTCAGTGGCGTCGGTTGCGTTTCTGAAATTCGGAGATAATAAGTCCCTGCCAGTTGCAGTCAGCCAAAAGATCCAAACCCAACCGAGGATGTAGAAAGCAACCGCGGCCTCCGTAAGAGCGAGCCCTGTCGTGAGGGGAGCAGAACGCCTCGGGCTAGGGCGAGCCCTTCCCACGGAGCTGGCGTTGCCACAGCCGCCACACCGGAGACGTTTTTGGCAGCTTCTAATTACAAGCCAAATGCCTGGGGACCCCGAGCAGTGCTGCATGTGCAACGTCAATATTATCAGCATATTACGTGTCTGTGCTACAAAAATCATTGCGCTCCCCTTGCCATTTGTTAACAAATAGGCTAAAGAGCAACACCATAGGCTGTTTCACAAAAAAATACTGCACAGATGTTCTCGTCTTTGTTATAGAAATTTTCTGATGTATATGTATGTGGAATCATTTTTGCATATCAATCCATTTGTTTACATTTTATTATATTGAGTATATAGATAAACCCATGAGTGCTACCTGTGAGGCATGCTCCAGGGTGAACTGATCCTTTAAGAGGAAGGACAGAGGCTTAGTTACAACTTGATTGTGTGAGGCTTAGGTCGTCACACCATTTAAGAAATGTGGCTGTCTGGATCATATGCCTAAACTAAACCAGCTCAGTAAAGAACGACTTGTGTACAGGATAGACTCATTGAAAGGAAACATATTAAAGGTGTGAAAGTTATTGCTCAATTAGGAACAACAGACTGGCTGAAAAAAGTTCTAAGACAGGTAGCCCTGTTATGAACATAGGATTAAAGGGAGCCACATGGTGCTGCTGCCCAACTACTACAGGCAGTGGGTCACAGAATTCCCTTTGTAAAATGATTGTGTTCCATTTCAAACACAGCTGTACTTCTTCTAACCTTCTCTTAATTGTCCTTTAATTTTCAGACTAAATTCATTTACCAATATACGCCTTTGTTTCTTTGCCAGGACTTGCCTTTTTATTCAATAATCCATTCCCGTAGTGATACATTTATAGAAAGCAGTCTTACCCCATTTTAGCTTTCATTTTATTGGGCTAGAGCAGCCATATTCTGTTTCTTTTGTGTAGAGAAGCTCTTCCTAATCATTCCAGGAGCCCATCTTTGCACCTTTTTTAGATCCAATTAATAATTTTATACAATATGCCAGATGAAGTTTCACTTGACAGTCAATTCAAAAGTGTGACTTAGATAAGTATATTTTGTTTTCCTCTTCTGTCTTCTGTCATATCAGACAGTTGAGGTTCTAGCACATAATGTTGCTATTTGTTCCCAAGCACAAAACTACATATTTCTTTGTAAATAACATTTCTTCTCATTTCTCTTAGTCTAGGCTATAGGTTTTCTTGGTATTAATTATAATTGGTAATTATTATTTATTTGTGTTGATGATGTTTCCGCACTTTAGCAGTGAATTTCATTAGCATATATCCATACATCAACAATACTTGTAGCCATTTCCTTTTGTGTCAGCTCCTTTCATGTTTCACTTTTCCTGTGTATCTTACTAGTTTTCCATATAAAAATGATGAAATGTGCTTACTTCTTTTGCTTGGCAGTTACATAACATACCCTGAGATTTGATACCTTTGAATTCATGGTCAGTTCTCCCTTCTGTTTCTGTTTTAGTTACCCTTTTCTTGAATAAGCCCCATAATTTGTTCTCTAGGACTGATTACGCACAATCAACATCCAGTTCACATAACGAACAGTCATTTCTCCACCCATATAATTATATAAACTATGCAAGTTCTTGTCTTACTGCTCACAGTGATTACTTCATAATTTTTGCTGTTGTTCTATTAAGCAGTTTAATAATATCCTTTAATATAAGCAGAACATCCTGCCACAATGGTATTTTCTCCAAAGTAATTTTGGTTTAGGTTAGTGTTTCTGATTTCATAGGTTCAAAATAATTAATGTTTCCCATATTCAATCTGTTCAAAATAAGCCATTTCATGCTTTCAGCTGTGAAATAAAATAGTATCTTTAAAAAATTTGGAGTTTGTTGGTGTTTATTGGATCTTTTAGTCTTTGACTGATAATATTGCATTATATTCATTGCAACTTGGCATAACGGGCTGATCAGAAGACTGAAGCACTCAGTGTGGCCTCTCTTCATTTCCTTAAAGGAATAAGCAGAGGTGGGAAAAGCAAGCCTATCAAATAAAGGGCACTGTTCTGTTGCCCATGGTCTCCATCCCCACAGTGCCCAGGTTCTCAAGAACAAGTTTCAGTATTGGAAGAACTGGGACAGAACTATTTCTGTCTTGACTGTCTGATGAGAGGGATGGGTGAAGTCAAGTTCTGAAGATGATGATCCACCTAGATTGATAAGTGACCTCGATGCTGTTGGCAGCATGGTGACTTAAGAAACTGTCTCCTGTGGATGCTTGTAACAGGGTAATGGTAAAAAATGGTAAAAGGCATCTGCAAAGGAGGAGAAAGAGAGCAGGGAATTGGGCTCCCTTATCTTTTGCAGCCCACACTGAATGAAGAGCAGGTCAAAATCTCCTGCTTGTTCAGTTGACCCCAGCGATAGTTACTGGGTGAGGTCTTTGGGCATAGACAAGGTGTATCATGACTGCTGGCCATCAGTTTGTTCTACGATGCTACTGCCTATGCAAACTCAGTGCTGCTGGGATAGCACAGAGAGCTCTGGTCTTGTGAACAGTTCAGCAATGTATATCACTTCTCCAGAGCTCTGAGCTAATTGCTGTTATTCCACCAGAAGCCCCATGCTTTCCACCCTAAAGACACATTCAAAAAGTATTACAGTTATTTTCCTTTCAGACAGGTGTGCTGATATAAGCAGCTGCTGATGCTGGTTTTGGTGGGGAGAAAACCCTTGCAGAGTTTTCTGTGGGATTAGGAATTGTATGCCCAGAAGTGATATGGGAAGGTGCACATTCTTCCACATTTTCCTGTGTAGTTACCACAGGACTTAGAGTGCAGAAGCCCAGTTGAGCTGCTAGCTTGCTAGGGTGTTCCCACCTGAGAACACCTTCAAGCTCTCTGTTATTGATGCATCTGTTGTGTGGCCCCAAGTGTAGTTACCGTTCTTGGTCTTCAAGATCATTGCATTCGTTCATTCAAATTTATGGAGACAACAGTCTTTTCAAACTCAGCAGTTGTTGTGTGGTTAGCAACCATCTAATACTGCCATGGAGTAGTTGGGCTACCTAAGAAACATGGCTTTCTTTTGACACAGATTCACAAGGAGTGTCATTTTCTTAAGGCTCCGTGTTGCACCTCTCTGAAATTTCTCTAAACTTGGGAAGATACCTGTTGATATGACAGAAGCAAGTAGATAAAGAGCAAAAAAAGAAATGTAATAAAAGAAAGAAGGGCATCAGTGAGGGAGGAATGGCAACAGAAAGTAGGGCAGGGAAAATGATTTCAAAGATGAAGATGTGTAGATATATGAGGAAGAGCTGAAGACTGGCCATCAACAGCAAATGGAGTTGTTGACATGACACTTGAACATATTTGTTGTGTGCCATTGACTTTTCAGGCAGCGGAGGGGGAGAAATATTTAGAAAAGCCACCACGCATGGAAATGAAGAATCATAGAAACTTTCCTTTATTTTGAGTATGAATCCTTGAATGGGATGAGGAAAAATACAGGTCTTACCTCACAGTTGCACTGTCAGCACTTGTGATGTAGTTATGCTACTGAGCAATGTTCTGTTATTCTTCATCAAGGATTTTAGCCTGGCATAATACAAAAAGTCTGTAAGAGAAGCCTCAGACTCATGGCAAATTACACCTTCAGCAGGTGAATAAGAACAAGATACATGCTGAAGATACCAGGTTATAACACCCTTAAAGTATCTACAAATGCAAATCCTACCTCAGGAAACTACATCACAATGAAGAAAATGTTATGTAAAAGTGATTCCTATTGCTACTGTGAAATGCTTACTCTGCCAGCATCTCTGCTAAAGCGTGGAAACTATCCCTAATTGGTACTGTAGCAGGTACAGCAGCACAAAGAAGGATCAATGCGGGATATGCTCATCTTCTGGCTCTTAGGCATGGTCTCAGTACCCATTCTGAGATTTTTTATGTTACTTCCACCTGCCTAAAACTGGCTTTAGAATCACAAGTGAGTCATTGAGTGGTATGACTTGGAACATGTTTAGATATTAAAAATTAGAAAAATGGTGGTAGCAATAGGAGAGAGATCACATTCAGAAACTGTGTAACTTCCTGTAATGTACTTATTTATTTATATAGAGCCACAAGTCATTAGTAACAAAAAAAGATAGTGAGGGCCTGTGAATGCTGAGTGTGAGATTAGTATTTGCAATTAACTCATCTGTGGCATATTTTTTTGTCTGAATTTTACTATATTTATGAATTTGTGCTATCAGTTGTACAAACCAGGGACCATATAAGGATTAAGATGCTAAAAGAAGAGAAACACCCTGCCTTTGTTTCTTACACTCTGTTTCCTTGAGTGTCTGCTACTCACCCTACTTAAGGTAACATTGAGAAAAGAATACTGGCTCAGTTTGGGAGTCATTATCATAGAA